TGGGATTTAAATTGAAGTCGACCAATATATTAAGAAGAGATTTATAGTCATCAAAGATAACGTAGATACATCTCATGTTTAACCCAAAAGTACTAGAAATGTGGAATCAAAATAGCCTCTTTAGCTAATTAAGGTGGATTTAATCCTTTTTAAATTATATCTTCCTACCTATGCATTATGTAAAATTATATATAGTTTCTTGAGAATCAATAGAATTACTTACAGTAGTGTCAGAGCATACTTGCACTTTTTTTGTTAGCATTGTAAATGTTTGTAAAAACGGATTTCTTGAGAAATTTTTAAGCATACGGAAACAATTGGTTGTTGTATATTGCCCATTTTCGGTGCTATTGGCTAGTAATTTTGCTGGTTTTTGATGATGTGTTTATTTAAATTGTTCTTATGTTCGTCTCTACTAACTATTTTACTTCAATTTTTTTAGTGCTATTAGCTGGCACTTCAATATTTCATGCATTTAACTATATACTACGAGAAAGCAAAAAAAAGGTTTACTATGAAATTGATACTAATTCAATTTATAAAAGTGGGGCAATTCGTTTGTAAATGTATTAAATGCATGACTTAATTACTTTAGTAAATGATGTTGAGAATGTTTCCTGGCTTGTAGCTTTGTCAAATATTCTTTTGACAGATATGACCTAATTGAATGACATATCTGCTTAGAAGACAATGTCATATAAGTATAGCAATTACTTTGGAAATTAGGAAGCAGACAGTATAAATTATTCAATAGTTTGGTCCTGTTCTGGTGGCCACGTCATGTCATGTGTCCACCTTGACATGCCTTTTCAATGTTTGTTATGATAATGAGTTGCTTTATTTTAGTAATTATTTATTTAAACTAAATTATTTTAATGAAGATAAAATTAATATTACAATAATTTCTTAAGCTATTTTTTCCAATCAATTGTAATTCTTATTCTTATGAGAATAAATTGTAATTGAATTAAAGTATAGTATTTTTGTGCTTGTTTTTATTTATTTCAATTTAATTTTTTGATAATTTATATTGTAAATTAAATTATTTAATTTAATTTATATAAAATAATTTTTATTGTTTAAAATACAGGAAAAATATGAACTTTACTTGATTTAGTTGTGCCACAATGGAGTCCTTTTCAGGTGATCGAGATAGTTATCTCCATATAATTATCTATAATACCAGATAATTAAATTAATATTTTTTATACATTTTCATTGTTTACTTCAATTTGCTTTATTATTCTAATTCACTAAAAACAATAAAAAGCGTATCAAATACTTAATTGCGAAATACTTGATTTCATAAACAATTTAAATTTTATTTACATTTTTTGTCTTATATTTATTGCTCTGCCCCCACTCACTCCCAACTTATTTCGCAATCTGATTCATTTGCATTTTTAATCTTCTTTCCCAGCTGACCACGTGTAACGCAAATAATTTCGTTTTCGTTTTCATTTTCAAACACATTTTTCTACATTTTTGTTTCTCCACTGATTTTTTATGTTTTCGTTTTGTTTTTATTTTATAAATTCTCAACGCGAAAAAAAAATGTTACCAGCTGACCACGTGCTTTTTGCCGCTAACAGACAGACACAATGTGCCGGCAAAAATAACAAAAAAAAATGGAAAAATAACGACGAAGGCCAAACAAAAAGCACGTTTTTTATTTTTTATATTTATTTTTGTGGCTATTTCTTTTTTTTTGTTTTGGTATCAATGCTCTGTCGTTTGAATATTCTTTCTACACAAAACATGTGCACGGCAAAGTTTTTCAGCTTCAGCTTCTGCTTTTGAATTTATTTTTTATTATGTTTCGTTTTTTACTATTCCTCTTTTTTATGCGTTTTCAGAGAAAGCGTTTGTGTGTTTAGCATTAGCAACAACGTGTTTAATTCTCATAACAAATTTGCTTAAGAAAAAATGTGCTCACTTATAAAAAATTCATGCAGTGGCATAAAAAAAAAGCAAAAGCAAAATGTATAATAAGGGTAAAAAAAATGAAATGAAAAAAAAAATAAGAAATAAGAAATAAATATATGAGATAATGAAAAAATTGTTTACAAAGTTTTTGTTTTGATAAGCATTTTTGTTAAGTTATTGAAATTTTTAGGGTTCCACAGCTTTTTACTTTTATATTATAATAAAAAATTTTTTCTTTGAATTTTTTTTTTGAATGTACAAATGTTTGCCTAATACACTGTAAAAAATATTAAAAAATAATAAAAAAAGTTTCTTTAACGCTTACTCATCACCAGTTAAATTTTGTTCATTCAAGAGCAATGCTCGGACGAAAGGGGTTAGTTAAATTGTTCGAAATAAAAATAATAATAAACTTAGTTTTACAAAAATATTTCAATCAAGGGAAGTGATTGATTAAATTAAATATTTTGAGTTAATAGATGTATTCTCATTTATATTCGCATAAAAGGTTTTATTTAGGAAATGCTTTCAATACTAAAAATCCCGCGTAGAGACTTAATTATAGAACGGATACGTACAACTGTGCCCAGGCTTATAGGAATATTATAAATAAATGACACAGGATATTGTGGCCGTGAGAGCGAGTTCGAGTAAATTGATGGTAAATTGAGGGAAATAGTAAATTATGTCGGTATGGCAGTGAATGTTGGTATTTATTAGAATTTCGAGTAGGGTAACTTAGATAAAAATTAGGTTAATTAGGTGTTATCATTGCGAAAATTTTATAAGATGTTTAATAAATAAATAGATTTGAAAACTTTTAGCCAAAAATAATAAATAAGTGCAATAAATAAATAAATGTATATTTACATAAGTGCAGTGCAAAAAATCCCTAGGAAATTTCAATTTACTTTACCCAAATTTACTCGAAACCGCACACGGACTGTGTTGTTTTTGTTTTGTTGTTATTATTATTATTGTATTTATTGTATGATTTTCTTTTTAATTTTCCCACTATAAATTTTACATTATATATTTTGTTAATTTCCCTGAAGATGACCATCGAAGATAGTCGAAATATTGGAATAATATTTTAATAAAATATAAATTGTTTTTAAATATAAATAATAAATTCTAGTTTTTATTTTGTTTAAATTGACCAATTAGACCGCTCAAACAAATTATTATATAAAAGGTTAAACAATAGATCCTTTAGAGTAAACAGGGGACAATGTATTCTTATATACATATGACAGTTAAGGTTCTCCATCGTTGATACACTATCAAAATTCCATAACATTTAGACATAACATTACACAATGAAGTAATAGTAGTCTGTCAGAATGTCGGTAGATGTGTTGTGAATGACTGGTAAGTCCATCTAATGGTTTTTCTTACATTAGCAAATGTATTCCCAATACATAAACTTTCTTCCAAAAGGATAAAATTCGTACGGTTGTCAAAATTAGAAGAATACTGAACTCACTCCCAATACATAAACATTTAAAAACTTCTGCTTACTTTTGTACGTAGATTTTATATTTAATTTTATATATAAAAATTAAATTTTCGTTTATTTATGACCCCGACACTCAAAGCTGAAATGATACCGCATTTCTATGAGAAGTAAATTTCTAAGAGTCATAAGTGAACAAGTAGTCATAACAAAAATTGTTTGTTTGAAGATTTTTACCAAAGAACTAAATTTATTGATAATATACTTTAGCGTTTTTTTATAACATTCAATGTAAAATGTTTTCGCGGAATTTCTTTGAATGTGTTCACAAAACAGCTGAGATAAAGGCGCTTTTATAGTCAAGGGTAGCAGAACAAACGATCAAAAGTCTACAAACACTAAGTATAAGACGACGTTTTAGTGTAAATTTCTGCTTTTTAGTAACTAGTTTTTTTTTTTTTTTGTAATTTTTAGTAGTTAGTTGCGTAATTGCAACGCTTAAGAAATTCCACTGGACAGTTTTTCATCGAAACTACAAGTTTACTGGTCTCCTGAGTTTTTATTTCGTCCTATTCTTTTAGTATTATTTCTTCCAGATGCTCGAAATTGAATGTTTACGAATTTTTGTTTCGGATAGTGCCCATAAATGTTGAATTGGATTTAAATCCGGTGAAGGGTGGAGGCGTATTCAGTAGTTTAGGGGTATATAGCATCAAAGATGCGCAATTTCTGTCGTACGTTTAGGATCATTGTTCTGTTGAAAATAAAATCCATCTGCCAGTCCCAATTTGTCAGCATTTGATTTCATATTACTTAAGAATTTTTATTTCAACTTTAAATTTTAGTACGCAAAATGACAATTTTTGCAAGTATGCGTTTTAAATTTAAAAAAGACTGCTCCTCTCATGAACTGTTATCCGGGCACGGCAAATAATGTGTTCTTTATGTTCAGGCAGAAAATGGATAAACAAAAACTGTAGTTCATTCAATTACTTTTCAAAAAAACTGAATTTCAGTGAAAAACATTGAATGATATCATTTCTCGGTAAATCTATTTTCAGTAGAATAGTTTTTTTATTTCCTTTATTAATAATTGGTACCAGAGACTAACCTACAGTCAAACGTGGTCGGGTTTAGCTACTATTCTATATAAATTAATAAAATATATACAATTATAATTTCTAAAATTAAGAATATAAAATTAATTATTTAATTTGTTTTAATATTTCAGGTGGCGGAAAGGATTTGGAAACAGTAAAAAACAAAGTTCAAACAAAAATACAAAATAAAAATTCATTATTAATATCAAATCAGTCAAAAATATATAATAATAATAATAATAACAATATCAATATGCCAAAAAAGACAACACAATCAGGTAAATAATATATTTAAACATTTGTTTTAATGATGAAATTATGTATTTCAATAGCAATTATATTAAAATTTTTATAAATAAAATTAATTCATAGTGTTATTTAAAATGATACTTTATATTTATTACCCTAAAAAATTTCAAATTAAAGCTAATTTAATAATTTCATATATATTCTTCTCTTCTTTGTTCTTCCCTTTAAATATTTTAAAATGTATTTTACTTAATAACCTAGCAGCTATTGGAATGCCAGCATATTCAAGTGGTTCTACAGGAGCCACATCAGCAGGTTTGGCTGGCTTATCAAGCGCTGTACTCGGCGCTTATAATGCCAATGCACTTATGAATTTAGGTGCTGGTTTCGGTAATACAGTTAATAATAGTACAGGTAGTGTTCTGACCACACCAGCAACTACAATTTCTGGTGTTGGTGGAACCAATACAAATATTTCCACTACCATTGCTAATGTCGTCAATTCCGTTAGCAATCACATGGGTGGTAGCTATTATCCCACTAATTCAAGCTTAACTATGGCAGCGTCTCTTTTGGCGCAGAGTAAGTCTTGTAATGTTGGTAACAACCAGATTTTATTCTTAAACTCCTAATATTTCTATACTTATTAGATTTAGATTATAATTTAAAGAAATCTTTTTAATTTTAATTAATTTAGATATATAAAAAGAATTATTTATAAACATATATATTTTTTTTCTTACAAGGAATATAATACCAATATTACTAAAAAAATGTACATTCACATTTGCACATAGCATTTTTTTTTTGGTTATATTAATTATTATTGCACATTATCCAAAAAAACTTTAACGAAAAAAGTTTTCTCTTAAAAACTCCCAGTGCTGCTATTTCATCTGTGATTGTAGGTAGGATGAGCATCCTATAAAGCTTAAGTTTTGTCAATTAAGAAAGCTCTGAATTTCCATTGCCTAGCATCTATTGGCAATGGTAGTTCTTTGTCTGATCTTCAGGCTGACATCATTGTTGTTCATTACGGCGGTGCCAAGGTAGATGAAATCTTTGACAGTTTTAAAAGTATAGTTGCCAGCTACGAGCTCGTCGGTTGAACGATGTTCATTTGTGCCTTTAACCGATATATACTTTATTTTTGTCCTCATTCATTGTTTAGCCGATTTTCGCAGATTCCTTTTCGATCGTAGCAAAGGCAGCTGTAACATCAGGCTTACTACGCCCAATGATGTTGATGTCGTCGAAGTAAGCAAGGAGTTGTACATATTTATAAAATATTGTGATTTTACAAAACAACACCTGCCGTGTGCATGATTAAATCTATGCCGAAATTGAAGAGATTTCATCATAAGGGATCACTTTGCCTTAAGCCTTGCATAGTATTAAAAGCTTCGGAGAGACTTGAAACTATTCTGAAGGAGCTATGGGTATTGCTCAATGTTATACATATTTACTTCGTAGAGATACCGATCTCAGATATTGTGATTTAAATGCGATCGTAGGCTTTTTCTAGGAGTTGTCATAGTGCGAATTTTTGATCAATGATGGGGCGCACTAAGGACTAATCAGTGAATTGGCAGTGCAGTTGCACGCGATAGATATTTGACTGATATTGTTCGATTACATTTTGTTTTGGTTTAACTATTATAAAAATAAAATATGAACGCATAAGTATAGAAACAACTTTTGAAATTGAGTAATTAAAATAGATTTGTTTGTAAATATTATAATAATTCACTTCAAATAACATTTTCTCTTACATATGGATGGAATCACTTCACATTTGAATATTATAAACCTGAGCTCAATTAAAAAAGAATTTTAAACTCATATATCTTATATCTAGCTTATTTAGAAATGTATATTAGTAAATGAAACTCGTTGACTTAATTAATCTTATATTATACATAATATTATTAAAGTTAAGTACATATACTATGCTCATATTCTATTCAGATATTCTCTCTTAATTTTAATCTATCAGTCTGCTTAAAAAAAGAATTCTGTAAGAGATCTATATATTATATTCATGTTACATATAATTTCCATAGAAATAAAATTATTATTAAGTTGTTAAATTTTAAAGTTAGACTGATCATAATTAGTCAAGATAGCAAGTCAGTATTTCCATTCTAAGCTGTGTCAAATTTGAAAGTGCTCGAGGAAAAAATGTATCGATTATGTCGAGAATGACCTATATATAAATGTGAGCCGTCTAAAAATAATATTTTCTTCGTTATATAGTGATATAGTCAACAATTTTTTTAGCCTGTGATATTTGACCTTTTCCTCACCACGTTACTCGTAAAAAGATTTCTATAAAAATTATACCTTCTGCTCAAAAATTATCCGGATTTTGTTGTTTGTTAACTACTCCTTAAGTAATACACCTTTTTCAAAATTTTTTTTGTTATGTAGGTACCCCCTTTCTTGACATATGGTACAAATTTAAGCGCCATCTGTCAGTTAGTTTGTTTACAGCAGCTGTTAATGTTAGACTACCTCAAGTGTATTTAGCGAAAATAGAAAATAAAAAAAATTCTTGTTGTACGCCTTTTTTTGGCCAAACACGGACCACTGTCATCGCTCAGGCACCATATTCGCCAGATCTAGATCCGTGCGACTTTTTCCTGTTCCCGAAACTCAAATTGCCCCTTCGTGGTAAGCGGTTTGAGTCGATTGAATCGGCAAAAGAGAATTCGCTGAAGGAACTAAAAGCCATACCTTCACGGGCTTACGAAAATTGTGTGGAAGATTGGGTTAAGCGTTGGCATATGTGTATCGCTTCAGAAGGAGCATATTTTGAAGGAGATAAAATAAATTTGGAATAAAATTTAAATTTGTGTGTTTTTATTTAAAAAATCCGAATACTTTTTGAGCAGAAGGTATATCCTATAATCACAGTAGTTTATCATTTGCATTACAACCATTGTAAATGATATATACTATTTGTGTTGTGACGAATACTGCAATTTCTGTCAAGTTAACATTTTTGTCTTGGTTTTTCTAAGTTAAGATGATCTAAATTTAGAATTTATAAAACAAAATTTCTTCTGCATTATTTTTTTTGTGTACTTTGACTGTATATATGTATTATTCTATATATTTAAATTGCGTTACCTTCTCCAATATCCATTATCTTCTTGAACATAATATAAATTTCTACTAATTTATTAATTAATTTGATAAATAACTTTTATGGTTTATGTAATGAGGGTTTAATTGAGTTTAATTGATTAATTAGGAAGATGAATTACCCTACTTACAAAGTTTTTATTAATTTTATACGCAGTTTTGAAGTACGCACAAAAAAAAATACATTTAATAAAGCACGTAAGCTACATGTACCGACCAATAACTTTTGTGTAAAGTATACATATCTGAAAAAACGGAATTATAAATTTAGTGAAATATCACATACTTATTTGAATATTCCCCTTATTTTAATTCGTTGTACATAAGGCATTATTTTCATTAAAAGAGGAACTTTTTTCATGTTATAGATTCTGTAGTACTTTTTATTGCGTTTAATTCAGTATTGAAAAATTCAGATATCTCGCTGTATTAAGATGGTTAATACAAGGCTTGGGACTATCTTTGATTGATTGATTTCAATATTTAGATTTTTTTATATATACTCTTTTTTTTATCAATATGTATGCCAGTTAATAATTTGATATGAAATCCATTTGTTTATTAATTCGTCTCTCTGAAACAGTAAGGGATATGTTGTGAAAAAACAAGTGACTGAATTCAGACATACCTCAGTAAAAAGATTTAAGCCTATACACCTATTAACAGGTTTAAGTCTTTTTAAATTTGATCAGCAGTATAAATTTGATTAATATATAACTATACCAGGAGAAGAGACTGCTTTCCCGAGCAACACGATTTAACAATAGATTTTAGTACATTTTAGTATTTTCGACGTGGTATTACTTCGTTATATCTCCTAATAGCTGGGTTCTGAAAAAGCGGGATTTAGGTTGTGAATACTTTTTGCACAGACTAGTATTTGCAATTTCATTGATTACACAAAGAATATTCTAACACCCGATATTTTCAGAACTTAAATATATACCGACATATATATTAGTAAAAAATTTGCGCAACATGTTGAATATCAAAATTAGTTGTCAAGTCAAGGAAATCGTGTTTAAACCTTAGATTATAAAGATTATATTGAGATTGAGCTAATTAAGAAAAAATATCATTAAAGACAATATCATTCTGTAGCTGAATTTTATTAAATGGTATTATTAACGACTTAGGATTTAAATTATTACGTATCTAACTATCTAAATAGTTTTTGTCTTAATCAATTTTCTTGTCTTCAATTGAAAATAAAAATGAAAAATTATATGAATATTATATTTTTATAATTGAGTCCATCTTATCATCTGGATATACATTAAAACACTAAAGATTGCTTTTATTTTGTTTATTTATTATATTTAGTTTATTTGATATGCATTTATACGATATTATTACTTATTATTATTCCTTGCTTTCCTCTTTGCTGTTTGAAATTTAAAAAGAATTTTATTTTAACTAGTTTTAATATTAAAAAGATTCCATAAGTATTTGATTTTCATTTTTGCATTGTTTTTTCTTTTTCTTTTGTTTTAGTGGGCATGGGTTTTGGATTTGACGCTCCAGCTCCATCCACAGTACCCGCTCCAATAAAACCTCAACATACTATAAATAATGTAATTATGCAAAAGATTAATGCATTGGTTGCAGCAAATCCAGCGTTTTTAACGAGTGGCATACCAAACCAATTGCTATCTCAATTATTGATGCAGCCTGTGGCGGTAAGTTCTAACGCAATACTATCATCAATTGAGATTGTTTCTAAAGGCATCATTTAGGTACCTACTGTTCCACAAGAGGAGGAAGAGGTCGATTATGAAGAAATAGGTGTGGCGGAAACTTATGCAGAATATTGGCCAGCGAAATGTATGTTAGAATTATTTATTATAATATAATATAATATATATAGACTGACTTATATAGATTTTTATTACATTTTTTCTTGCAGTAAATTTCGGTAAAAAACATCCCGATTCTGTAGTAGAAACGGCATCGTTGTCTTCTGTTGAACCTTGTGATGTTTATTATAAACTGTCGATACCATTAGAGACTGTTAACAGTGGCCAATTGAGTGCACTACAGTTGGAGTCCATTACCTATGCATCACAAGCACATGATCATCTGTTGCCTGATGGTACGCGTGCAGGTTTTCTAATAGGTAGATAAACTTTATATAGTTGTCATTTAACATTTATTAAAGTTTTTTGTCTGTTTGTATTTTAGGTGATGGCGCTGGTGTTGGTAAGGGCCGTACCATAGCTGGTATCATATATGAAAACTATTTAAAGAGTCGTAAGAAAGCATTATGGATTTCTGTATCCAATGACTTGAAATATGATGCAGAACGTGATTTGTCAGATATTGGTGCTGGCAAAATTGGCTTATATGCTTTAAATAAAGTGAGTATATTATTTGTTTTTAATTAGAGTGATGATAGTAATTATCCTTATTTGTTTTATAGTTCAAATATGCCAAAATATCTTCAGATGTAAATAACAATTGCAAACGTGGTGTAATCTTTAGCACATACTCAGCGCTAATAGGTGAATCGAATAATAAAACTGGTAAATACAAATCACGTTTAAAGCAGTTGTTGCAATGGTGTGGCGAAGATTTTGACGGTCTGATTATATTTGATGAGTGTCACAAGGCGAAAAACTTGTGTCCCGTCGGTTCGGGTAAACCAACAAAAACTGGTATAACCGTTTTAGAGTTACAAAATAAATTACCAAAAGCACGAGTTGTATATGCATCAGCAACCGGTGCATCGGAACCAAAAAATATGGCTTACATGGTGCGTTTAGGTCTTTGGGGGCAAGGCACTGCTTTTGGTACATTTAATGACTTCATTGCAGCAGTAGAAAAACGGTAAGTTGTGATTTAAAACTTAATAAAAAATTAATAACATTTATGAATTATGAATTAAATTATTCGTATTTGTTCTAGTGGTGTTGGCGCAATGGAAATTGTGGCTATGGACATGAAATTGCGTGGCATGTATATTGCCAGACAATTAAGTTTTCATGGCGTTAGTTTCAAAATTGAAGAAGTTGCATTATCTAAAGATTTTCGTAAAGTTTACGATCAATCTGTTGAGTTGGTATGTATATAAAAAATTTCACATAATAAAAGTGCAATTAAATAAGTAAAGTGTAATTACAGTGGGTCGAGGCTATGCAAAAATTTACAGAAGCAGCTGAACTTATTGATGCTGAAAGTCGCATGAAAAAGACAATGTGGGGACAGTTTTGGTCATCACATCAGCGTTTTTTCAAGTACCTTTGTATAGCAGCGAAGGTAAATCATGCAGTGCATGTAGCACGAGAGGCTATTAAATATGGAAAATGTGTAGTAATTGGTTTGCAATCGACTGGTGAGGCGCGTACGCTTGAGCAACTGGAACGGGACGATGGTGAACTAAATGATTTTGTATCAACAGCTAAGTAAGTTTTTGTGGCTACCTTACTTTGTTTATGTATAAAATTTAATTAATTATTTTTTCTTGTGTTAGGGGCGTATTTCAGTCTTTGGTGGAAAAACACTTTCCAGCGCCTGATCGAAATCGTATTAATCGCATATTAGGTTTAAATACTACGGATGATAGAAAACTAACAATACAAGCAATAATTGATGAAGTTAAAAATAAATCTAAAAATGAGGCTTCGTCATCAAATATTGGTAATAAGCGAAAAGCTGTACGCTCGGATTCAAGCGATATTAAAAAATCACGTAACAATTCTTGGGAGGATTCTGGTGACTCACACAATTCATCTGATGAATCCGATTTTAAATTTACCAACACAGATTCAGAGAATTCAGATCAGGAAGTTAATTCAGATAGCTGTGAATCATCTGATTTTAATCCATTCTATAGCGGTTCAGATAGTGATAACGACCCATGGGTTAATTCACGTGCGAAAAAAAAGAAAAAGAAGAAAGTCAAACCTGTGGAGCAATTAAGTAATCCAACATCTGTAAATAACAATGTTACTGCACAAAAAAAGAAAGGTAAAATACAAAGACAAGTATAACTATTTTATCGTTTTACAATTATTTATTATATTATAGGTCCTCTAAGCACGCAGGATAAAATACAGGAACTTTTGAAGAAAAAACAAGAATTGAAGGGTACCGTTACCCAAATAGGTTCAACTGGCATTCAAATGCATTATGGACCACCACCAAAAGACGCAATTGAACGTGCTTGTAGTATGAAAGAAGAACTCTTACGCAAAATTGAACTTATAGGTGATCGTTTACCACCGAACACACTTGATCAACTTATTGATGAGCTTGGCGGACCAGAAAATGTAGCAGAAATGACTGGTCGCAAAGGTCGCGTTGTGCAATCTGATAATGGCTCTATACAATATGAATCAAGATCAGAACAAGATGTGCCACTAGAAACACTAAATATAACTGAAAAACAGCGATTTATGAATGGTGAAAAAGATGTTGCCATCATATCTGAAGCTGCTTCTAGTGGTATTTCTTTACAAAGTGATCGGCGTGTACGCAATCAACGTAGACGTGTGCATATTACGCTAGAATTACCTTGGTCCGCTGACCGCGCCATACAACAGTTTGGACGTACACATCGTTCAAATCAAATGAATGCACCAGAATATATATTCCTTATATCAGATTTAGCTGGTGAACGTCGTTTTGCTTCTACCGTTGCTAAACGTTTGGAATCGTTAGGTGCGCTAACACACGGGGATCGTCGTGCAACAGAGACGCGCGACTTGTCACAATTTAATATTGATAATAAATATGGACGTACTGCTTTAGAAACTGTGATGAAAACTATAATGGGCTATGAGTCACCACTTGTACCACCGCCAACAGATTATGTTGGAAATTTCTTTGAAGATATAGCGGGTGCTCTGGTAGGCGTTGGTATCATTGTCAACAGTGAATCGAATCCTGGTGTTTTAAGTTTAGATAAAGATTATAATAATATATCGAAGTTTTTGAACCGCATTTTGGGCATGCCAGTTGAGTTGCAAAATCGACTTTTCAAATATTTTACTGATACACTAACAGCTGTCATTAATCAAGCTAAACGTGGTGGTAGATTTGATCTTGGTATTTTAGGTATGTTTATAGTGTTATATATCTTTTTCACATATTTTGTATTAATTTATTTTTCTATTAAAGATTTGGGTGCTGCTGGCGAAAACGTAACTCGTGTGCAACTTATACGTTTTATACGTAAACATGCTACGGGTAAAGCACCAACGGAATTGCATACCGTACGTGTGGAGCGTGGCATGATCTGGCAAGCGATACTTAACAAGTGAGTAGTAGTAACGTATTTGGATTCCCTCAACAGTAAGGGTTTAAGGGTTTCACTAAAGTTTACAAGATATATCGCTCTTTTATGTTTCTTTACTAATATTAATTGATTTCAGATATGCTGATCTCAACGGTAAATATGATGGCTTTTATTTATCACATCAAACACGCAACAATAAGCGAACAGCTATACTGGCTGTTGAAATTGAGGCAACTGAAACATCAAAGCATAAGAAACACGAAAAACCCAGTAAGAAAGATATGATGTTTAGGGTTTATCGTCCAAATACAGGGCTACAAGTTCGAAACGAATCATTGGCTGAAATTGAAAAGAAATACAAAAAAGTTGGTAGCGAGGAAGCAGAGACACATTGGATAGCACAGTATGATGCTTCAGTCAATATTTGTTCGCATGCTTACTGGAATGGGAATTGCAGAAACGTTAACATGGGTTGTGAATGTGAGGTTAGTTCGCATCCGGAATTTTTTCACAAATCAAATTGGTAATAATAATTTTTGGATTTATAGGTGGGCTTACGTCAACGCCTTTATTATGTGCTAGCTGGATCTGTGCTATCGGTTTGGACACGTGTTGAAAAAATATTGGCAATGCGAAATGCAAATAATAAAATGCAAGTCGTACGTATGAAAACAACTGAAGGAGAAAAAATTGTTGGTACGTTAGTACCAAAATCATGTTATGAATTGTTATTGAAGGATTTAAAATCTGATGCCGAAAAATTTGAGGAAGTCAATTTTTAAAAATACACATAAAATATAGTATAATTAAGATAATACCACCACAATGCAAAATATTTATTATAACTTACATATTAATTACATGGAATGTTGATTCGTTCATTAATTCCATTAATTTAATTAATTAATTTATATTAATTACATTGCATTAAATTATATGACTTTTTAAGTTATTAAACATATTGTGATTGTTACATATAAATGCACTAACTACATTAATAGAAAAAATATTTAAATATTATTGCAATTATAATATTTTTTTCATTAATGTGACATGATTTGTTTACCTTTTTAATTTATTTATTCCTACGAGGGAAATATAAGAAACTTTAAACAAACTTCAAATGAAAACGCTTATTTATGGACTTTTTATTTATTTTATTGATATTTTTAAGACTAAAAATTTAATGTATACACATAAGTGTATATTATATTATAATTAAATATATATTAATATTTAAAAACATAGAAATGTAAAATATAACTATTAAAATTAATCATACACCAATCAAAATACAAAAATGCACACTTATGTATTTATTTTAATATTAATTAAAAAAAACTATGTAAATTCAAAATTACACTGCAAAGAAAAAATAACTATATGAAATGTAAAAGCTATAATTAAGTTTTGCTGCCAGCGGCTTTAATTTAAAATTTATATTTAATTTACTTTTATTCGTACTTGTAAAATTATTTTAAAATTACAAATTTATAAAGTTGATAGTACTATTCACACTATAAACATTTTCGGCGTTAAAAAGTTACTAAAGAAATTACTGGAAGTAATAAATTCCTCCAATGCGAGAGATATCTATAAAAAACTTGTATAATATAAATGTCTATAAAAGTTACATAAAAAATAAAAAAAAAACTGTAGCAATCTATAGATGTGAACTGTATAATAACTCCTTTAAGAAAAAATACATTTTTTCTTATTTTAGTATAAGTATGGATTTTAAGAACCGAAATTATCTTGTCAACTTATATAAAAACTATGAAAAAAATTTTTACTACAATTTGTAAATTTATTTAATAGAGTTGATTTAATTATATCTAAAAATTAGTTTTTTTAGTTTAATATAATAAATAGTTGCTGCACATTTAAATTTATTCAAATTAGAAATAAATGTAAAATTAAAAGAATTCAAATTTTCTAAATTGTGAGAATTAAAATGTAAGATTACATTATTTGGCATTAAGTTAATTTATTTAACTGATATATGAACTATTAATATAATAAATTATATTTAAGATAAAATAAAGTTATAGTGTGTTTTTCTATATAATTTATACATAATTATATTCATATTTTTATAGATTTTATGGCAAAAAGAACCTTATTTTAACAGATAAAAAGATAAATATGATTTTTTGTTATATATTTTAATTCTTATACCTGTTATTAGCAGCGATAGTACAAAAAACAGTATATATAATTGTTTAATCAATAACTTGCAGAAAATAGAAATTCACAACTTAAAAATCATAATAAAAAATTTTTTGATCTGATTAATTATAAGCAAAGCTTTGAATAGATAATTTTTCGTTGCGCTTCAGTATAAGAAATATGTTGGTTCGGTTCCGCAAAAATATCTTCTTTTTTTCAGTTTTTTTCAAATTATTATATATAATGTTATGTATTATACATTATTATATATTATATTATAAATTATATATACATTATTATATTATATATTATATATTATATTGTATATTATATTATATATTATATTATATATTATATTATATATTATATATACATATATTATATATATTATATATACATATATTATATATATTATATATTATATTTCTATTACGATTAGTTATGTTATCACAATTAAAATCATATTTTAACATTGCATAGATAACGAATTTACTCAATAAAAAACAAGCTTATAGATTTATAAATACAAACTTTTCTTGAGATTTTAACTTTCATTTAGTAAAGCTTTAACTACTGAAGAAAAATGTACGAGAATAAACAGATATTGAACTCTACAGTGCTGAACCGATATAAACCAATACATATTTTTTGATTAAGTTGCTGTTTTAGGTTCATAAAAAAAAATTGGTTTTCGGTGTAACCGGGTTCAGACGCGATTCGAAGGCTATTTTTAGTTCCGGTTCATTTGAAATTTTGTTAAAAATAAATTTTGTTATTGTTATCATTATGTTCATATTCTTTATAGACGTTTTAGATACTTTTTAAATTTTTTATTATTATTGTTACATATATGCTAAGAAATTATATTTAATTTTTAACAAACATTGAGTAAACGAACAAAGGACGGTAAAATGAAAATATCAGTATGAAAAAATTGATGTTATTTACACATTAAAAAAATGTTTTTATTAGCCTTAAATAATTATCATTAACAGTAAATTCGTGTTGTTAATTAAATGATTCATAATTAACTTATTTGAGGGAAAAATGAATGTATTGCATATCTTTACAATTTCAATTTTTTACAGCATTTTACATATAAACAAGTATTTAAAAAACAAGATGTAAAGCTAACTCCGGTTTTTTTAAGCTTTACGGTCTTTCGAAAAATTATTTTGTTAAGATTTAGTTATGTAGTTTTTTAATTTATTATAATGTATAAAAAATAAGCTAATATTATGAAATTTCTTTTACATTTAAACTTAATTGACCTGAACTAACAAAACCGTTTAACCGCAATTAAGCGATTAAAATTTAATCAATTCGTTAAATTATTTGAAGCTTATTAGAAATTTAATTCAGGAAATAATTAACCAATTGTTAGATACAAATAAGCAGTATTTTGTACTACAAAATAATATATAAATATAAATAACTAAGTTCTGTGAGTTTTTCCTAATGAATTGTTATCTTGAGCGGACAGAATTGTTAGTCCGGCCATTGTGTTTTTGACGGTGCTTATAGAACTATCTACTATGGATAATGTGTTATCGTAAATAGTACTGATGAAAACTACTTTAAATTAATTAGTAGAGATTTTGGCCCATTGTGAATTTATGTAGCTGGAGATTATTTATGAAGAACGTTGTTCACCGACTAAAGCATACAAAGCGTGCTTGTAATGTTCGGAGGTATCACCCTTAATCCAGCTCTTCAAGCTTTTGCCGTACATATGTTCGAATGTAGTTTTTATATCGGCCAAATCGATCTCACTACGTGTTATTATAACGCGTATCAATTGTTTTTCATTTGTGCCAATACCAGCCATACTCTTGTGTAAACGAGATGCAAAATATTTAACTAAATAATACTAATATTATATTAGCATTAATATAAAAAAAATATATATCGAAATTTATCAGCAAATAACACATAGGACGTTCGAGATTAAAATAAACTATTGTGATTATATTGTTGACTGATGAAATCATTTGTAAATTTATTTTTAATAATTTAAATTATTTTGATCAAGAACATTCTATATGAATAGACTGAGAAATTTATAAAAGACTCAATTAAAAACTATTAGGTTAGGTTGGACTGAGGTGACAGTTTTGTACCTAGGGCTTACATGGTCATATCTATTTGAAATATTAATATACATATTAACGAATTTAATGAAATGAAGAAAAAATTCCAGGTAGACTACCATCAATGGATTTATAGTGATTTCTAGCTTGAATTGACTCCAATGGTATTCTTGTTGAAAGAGACTAAAATATATAATGCTATAAATACTAAGACAGTTCTTTATTTATTATACTCAGAAAAATTCTTTTTTTATGTCACCCGAAAAACGGAAACCGTATCTCTATCTCTCTTTTTCTAAATAAATTTTCTAACGTCAACACTTTTTAAATCCAATTGGTTCTTGAGATGTAAGTCAGTTGACGCTAAAGATTGAACTGAGCCGAATAATCTAAGTTATTGAACACACTTTATGTCATATCTATTATAAAAGTTAATATACTAATTACCTTCATAAGATTTAGAATAGGTTAGGTTAGGTTGTGAAAGCACTTCCACTTGAAGGCATATATTGCGCATTGTGAT